CTCCCCTCCGGGACCTCAGTGCTTCCCCAACTATCCTCTGCTTGGGTTGCTGCCATCTCTGGTTTATCAGGGTAGGCATTTCAGTGGTTGCCACACTGAGGCAGAGGGATTTTTGTGACCCAGTGCTTCAGTAAATAAGCTATAAAACAATTCTCTGTCCTTTGAATGCTAAAGATTAATGAATGTACAGATCTGTTATCCAGGGAACTGGGAGTGTGGCAATGGGGGGGGAAAAAAAAACTTATCGTATTCCTGTCCCTGGAAAGTCCAGTGGAATTGCGTGTCCATTGGATACGACTCTCAGTTCCTGCAGTGCAATTCCTTAGGCACACGAGATCAAAGCAGGTACAGTGAGGTGATGAGGTACCTTGGCAAAATTGTTCCTTTTGTTGTAAGTGGAACAAATGATCAGAATGAGAAATTTCAGCTCTGGTCCATATCAAATCCTGTCTCCAAACTGTGAGTCTAGTTTTGAATCTGGATTTTTTTTGTCCTACAGTATTTGTGCCTGTTAAGAATTTCTCTGTCTACTTCAAGAATATTAATAAAGAGTTTGGAAATACATAGCACAGAATTCTGTACATATTAACAGGCTGTTAAAATGTGGGTAGCTGCCTTATAACGTGACCTGAAATGGTTTGTTTCTCTTGTCCATGCCCCTTCTTTTGTTTTGCAGACTTGTGGCTTTCCCTATAGGCTCTCTTGGCCCTATATTTCTCCTCCTTTTTCCACTACCATTTCAGTAATCTCAGCTTTGTGGTGTACTCCACCCAACTACTGTGGCTCCTTCATCAGCAGGACTTGCTGAATTTGCTCATCCTAGTCATCTTTTTCCTCCTCCTGTCCCTCTGAGTGCTGCATGAGCTTAGAGTTTTGGGGTACTATGGAATGATATAGAACATTTCAGTGCAGTTCCTGGCATGCTTCATCCAGTAAATAGGAATTAAACAGCACAAGATGAGATGATTATTTTTTTTCTTTTTCTGTCTCCACCTTAAGGATTATGGATTGGTTGGCTTCTTCCATGGTGGCGTCCCACGTGCTCTGCGGCGTACTTTGATGGCAGCAATGGCATGGACTATATATGAACAGATGATGGAAAAAATGGGTCTGAAATCTTGAATGACTCATTGTGCAGGAGTTCAGCCTACCCCCTTTTTCTGGCTTACCATGATCAGCTAGCAAGACTGGTGATTTCCCAGCTCCACAGCGGATGAGATTTGCTTAGTCATGGATGGGGGAGTGACGTGTGACTTCTGATACAGGAGTGTAGATTGAAAATCTTTCCCATCTGACACAGGTGCAAGTAGAGGAAAGATGGATTTGATCTTTGTATCCCTGAGTAAATCATTCCAGGAAGACTGTACTATTACACTTCCTTGGGAGATGGACAGTTTTGGTGCTCTAGAAGCTAAATGATTATGACACAGGTTGTTCGAAGAAACTCCTTCACAATGGTCATGTGTGCGTTGAGAAGTCTCTACACAGAAGAGAACTGAAGTTGACGACCTGTACTGCAGAACCCAATGCCTTTCTTGCCAAGGGGTATGCCCAAGACACTGAGACATGCTTTGTCTCATCTAATCCTAAATCTCTCTTGGTGTTCTCTTTCCATGCCTAAAGAGAAGGCATAGTAGAAGATGTTAGGAGGTCACAGTCTTTTCAGAGTTTGCTTAATGTGATTGTTGGCCGTGATTGTTTGGCCGTTTGACTATTTTCTTTCCCTAGTGTTTTGTCTTTGAATCGGAGAAAGAGAGAAGGGGTGTGACTGGAAGGAAGACGGAGAAATGCCATCTTATCAGCTTGCATGCTGGCAGTGAAAGTGGGTCATATAGTCATTGATATGTTTCCTGCTTTTATTTAAAGAGGACTTAATGACAGGCTTTAGACATTAACTCCTTTCAAAAAGAACTTATTTTGCATCTGCAGTAATATTTGCACAGACCTTAAGAAGAAAAGAAGCACTTTAGGATGATACTAGAGAGAGGGAATTTGTTGCTGCAAAAAGCTGCACTAATTCATGTGAAGTGTTCTCTGTCTAGCTAAATTGACTGTAATGATGCCCATTGCCTGTAGCAAATCTGTAGATGTTGAAAGAAAATGCTGTTTCATTTATAATCTTTCTTTAAAGACTTGGGGGGTTTTGGGCCCATGTAGGGGGAACTCCCTTTGTACTCTGAAGAGATCCCAGAAAACTTCAAATCAGCTTGGTAAATCATGGGTGTTTTTCCTGGCAAGCATTTCATTTTAGGGCAGTTAAACTAAAAGCAGCAAATGGAATATCCAAATATGTTGACATAATAGGTCTACCAGCCTTAAACAAATGTCTGTGTATTAGTCATCATTTTTTAAATTAAAATATAGATTCCCATAGCCAATGCACACCATCATGCACTCCAGGAGTACGTAGATTCCAGAGAAATTCTTCATTAGATGATCATAAGTCTAGCACAATTAAAATTTGGGCCCAACAGTGTCCTTGGTTTTTGTTTCAACTTTTAAACCAAGGTGAAGTATAGATGTATAGGGTCCTGAGTATCCCACTGATTTACTGTGGGAGTTCAGCATACTCAGTACTTCAGGACTGGGATTTTGGTGAGCTAATATAAGATTTGAATGTACAAGTAAGAACTGAATAGGGTATAGTCATTAACCAAAATGAGTTAAAGCAAGGATTTCCGTGTGGGGTGAAGCATGTTTGCAAGTGATGGGTGATAAGAACGCAAGCTATTAACTGTGCAGCTTAGTTTAATCCCACCTGTCCTCACCCTTCCCTGATGGAGGAAAGATGCTGGCTGGCCATGAATTAAGAACTATTCTTACCTAGCTCTCTCTCAGGCTTTGCAGTTGCAGAACAGTGCAAAGGCTTGGGCACTTGAGAGCATGTTAAATAATGAGAGTTGAGTAGCATGCTTGTGCAGTTCTGTCAGCAGATAGTCTGAAAAGCCCATCTCAGTTACCCACCCGGTGGTGAAGAAGAACAACCAGTAGGCTATATGCAGACCTAACGTCAGGAGAACATGTTGGGGATGAGGAGTGTGTGTGGTGCATTTACATGACTGCAAAGCTTTCAGTTCCTAGGTCATTAAGGAAATAGCTATGTAGGCTGCAACATTACAGATGTTCTTGCATATTAGAAAATAAAACCTTTTAAAATGATGAACTCATTTACTTATCTTCCTCATTTTAAAATCAGAATTCCATCACAGGGACCTAAAATGTTGGAATATTAAATATTTTAAGCTCAGAAATCAACTATTCTTTAAAAAAAAAAAGAGGAAGAGCTAACTCATATTTTGTTTGACATATAAATGTCTTTAAGTTCACCAGTTTGTATGTAAATTCTGTTACTAGCTTTGCATCTTAAGCAGAGCGGTTAGGTTAGTCTTTTCATTTAAGAATGCTTTCCTCTTTCTGTGGTGGCTGAGGATCAGCTGCCTTATAGAGTGAAGATATTACTAAATATTTTGATTTTTAGGAATGTTGTTGGAATGTGAGCTGCAGCAGTAGTGTGAAAACATATGTGCCTTGGACTTCATTAATACATATCTTGTAAGAGCTTAAGAATTACAGATTCTAAACTGCTCTGCATATCGTCAAAGCCTTGGTGCCCTCATCCCCAATAAAGAACCATGCAAGGGCTTTTCATCTTTTATTTTCTTTCTCAAGCCTGTTACATGTAGGAAAAGACCAAAGTTTTGGCTTGGGAGGGGATCTTCTTCTGTCCTAGAACAAACTAGATATGATTATTCCTGAGCCATCATGTTTACAGAAATAACTGAAGAGGAGCAAGTTATACTTATTCTGTCTCTGAAGAAATTTCTATAGTAAACACCTGCATGAGAACTGTGTGAACATGCTTATTTTATAAATTTCAGCTCCATGATCTGAAGTGGTGAGGTTTTGGCAGGGAAACCTTGGCAAAGTACTGTAGGCTTGAAACCTGTAGGCAGCTTTTGTAGCTGTACACTCTCATTAGCAGCTGCTAGTAAAATTTGCAACCCAGGAAACAAGCCATGGGAAAGCCAAAACACAAAACCCATTGCTTAGATCTTGTGTGAGAATTTCCATGAAACCAAATAATCTAACTACATCTATAGTATTGAAATACTGGGGAGACCTTGCAGCAAAATGGGAAGGTGATCTGTTAACAGAATGTCTCTGGAAACTGTGTTTAGAGTTTGGACCCAAGACCTTCATGCTTTCTCCTTTCTGTTTCCAATCACAATTCCCACAGTGTGAGAGAGTACTTCCATAAATTTTATGACTTTTTTACTATGCCCCCATAACTATGATGGCAGGGCAGAGTGGCTGTCTCAAAATATGATCTTGCTAAGAGAGGTAATGGCTTGGAAAGCTGAGCCTTTGGAGAAACTCCATTTTCAGTCTTCTTTACCAGAAGTTTTTTTCGTGCACTGTTTAACTGAACTGGAGCTGAGGCCTGTCATCTGGATTTCAAATGCAGTGGATGTTAATGTGCCTGTATACAAATATGCTATAAGAAGTTGTATTATGCACTGTCATTTATAGTTGTGATTGCCAACATGGATTGTGTCATTTTGTCTTTGATTTTGCTTAAAGGAAGGAGGTGAATATTTTGATCTGTCATTTTAACATTTTATGTCTTTCTTGACACCAAATTAACAGGTGGGAGATGAACTTCCTAAAAGGTAGTGCCAGTAAAGTCAAGACAGAACTACTGTTGTGTATGGTCTTGGTCACTAACGGAAAACAACCGGCAAAGGCTATTTTATATTCAGAGCAGATACTTCTATAGAATACTTAAAATGTACATTAGGTTGGTACTGCATGGAGGCCTCAGCTTGGTAAACAAAATGCAAAGCAGTTAAAGTAGAGGCCTCCAAAGAGGCCTCTCAAGTTAATACCTTAAGATGCATACCATGTTAGCCCAAACTATCCATAGCAATGCTATAATCCAGTTAGATTTCCAAATTAACTAGCATTAGGCTTGGTTAGACCTTGGCAAAGAGAAGTCCAAAGATCCCTGGGTGCTGCCTGAGCTGGTGGCTGAGTGTCAACTTGAGTTGATATTGAACAAATCTGTTCCATGTTAGAGACCACAGAGCTAGAGCTAATGAGGTTTTTGGATATACAGCACATCTATACTAGAAACTTAACACCCACAGCTGCAGGACCCTCAAGCTGGCAGGTTGCTGAATGGCTACTCCTTAGTTTGTGTTACCTGTTTGGCTGTGGCTACATGTGGATACCCTGTATGGGGGAGGCTAATTGGCTTTGTTACCCAGAAGCTTGCCTGGAGCAGCTTGGTATGCTTGATAACATCACAGCCCTGAATAATAAATTTACCATAGAGGCAGCTGAAGAAAGCCTTGTGCTGGTGGCCAGTTTCCTGTTTTAGCTTAAGCAAGTGGTAATGACTTGCAGAAGCTACACAAGTTTGTAGGGAGCAAGAAATTTGAATGCTTCAGGGGAAAAAACACTTCTCTTTCTTGGGAGAGGGTGGTACATTGGCATTTGAGTGGGACCCACTGAGGGTGAAACCATTTTGTCTCAAAGTCTGACCACACTACAGATCTTTTGTGGGGGCGTTTTTTAAGTAAAATTAGCTGGAGTTATCTGTTAACTTAATCTCAGAACATCCTGGTTGTCAAAGGAGATTTTTTTAAAAGAAGGTTTTATCATCATTTAATTGCTACTGGATTACTGTAATGCCCAGGAGCCTTCTCCATGGACCAGGACATAACTGTGGTAAATGTTGTACTACGTAAAACAAAAAGACAAATACACCCTGAAAGTGTTCATAATATAATAATAGAAATCATAATAATAATAATCATAATATAAATCATATTACAATACTATAAATAAGGAGATGGCCATCTTTCTTCTTCAGTGCCCCTACATTTACGCATTTGCTTTTTGCACTGCTTCAGTACGTGGGAACCTTTAGGCAGCACAAAGGCAACTACAGCCTGGTCTGTCTGGATACCATTTATCCTGAGCAAAAAAATACCATGCTCAGAATAGGAGTTCTGGTTTTTGGGGGAAACCTGCAGCTCAGAGGCTGGGAAAGGCATGCAATAACAAATAAGGGATCTGTGGTAGAGCCAAGACTTTCACAGGTAGCTGCAGAAGTCATTCATGTTCCAGACAGGCTGAACTGCTTACTGGCTTTCTGGCACTGAATCGATGAGTGGCAGCATCACTATCTATTCTGCACAGCCTTCCCTTAACCTTAGGGATATTTCTTCAGTTAGTAAACTGAATCTGGCAAAAGATAAAGTGTGTTATGCAAAAAAAGTTTCTCCCAAACTTTACAGAAAATGTCTTGGTGGTAATGTGAGGGAAAGGAAAGAAAACACTTTGGTTAAAAGTGTTAGCCTGCATATGAAACAGTCAACTGTGGCCTCTTTG